TTATATATATATATATATATATATATATATATATATATATATATATTTCTATGAAAATTTAAATAAAATAAAAAATAAAATAAAGTTTGCAAATGTGTCCCGTCTTAATGGATCAACGAGTCAAAATTGCTTAATTCAAAGTATCATAACAGTCTGGTACAACTTGAATTATAGTTAAGCTCAAGTTTATATAATGTAGTTCATTTCAATTTAATGAAACAAAAAATACACAATGCAGTTTAATTCAGATGAACCACTTTTAAGTTTAATACAATTTTTATAAGTTTAATTTATTTTGTCCACCCCTATTTATAGTGATATAATGGTAAAAAATCATGTCATTAAAAATACACGATTAGAAATTTGATTATAAGTTTGTATACATGAACGATCATATGTTGTGATGGTTAATTACACTCTCTCTATAAATATATATCAATATTTTAATATGTATAATGTATATAATAAATTTTAAATTATATAGCTAAAATATATAATAAAAATATATAAATTTACTATATTTAAAATTTGTAATAAATAAATATTTTTATTATATAAACTAGCGATGAAAAAGATACTATGCACCTTTGTGAAAAGAAAATATTTTTTAACTAAGTTGGTAGTTATTATTTTCAAAAAAGTAGTTATTGTTTTACATATGCATTATTTTTCTATTTTATCCTTGGATATATTGGTGAAAAAAAAAATAGAATACAAATATAGGGATATCATTGTCTATAAAAATTGGACACCAAAATGGGATATCTCCTTTATTTATTGTTATAAATTATTTATAAATAATTTTATTATGATAAATTTTTTTTTAAAATTATTAATAATTTCTTTAAATAAAATAATTGAAAATTTAATTTAAAACTAAAAATGGTAGATTAAATTAAAACTAAAAATATTCACATTAAAAAATAATTACAAATATTTTCATCAGAAAATAATCCCAAAAATTACTCATTGTTATTGTTATTCTAATTTTTATACAGTAGCAGATATATAACAAAATAAGAGAATAAGCCCAATTAACTTTACGCAGTTTGATTGGGTTGGGCCTTTCGAATGGACGCGATGTAAGCAAAAACCGAAAGGGATGATACAAAATTAAGGTAGAAAAAATGGAAGTGAAAGTTTGAATCGCCGGAGAAGATGAAGCTGAAGCAGTTGGAAGGCCTCCTCGGTGGTCTCCAGCAGTTCCCTAATCCCAAGGTAAAGGTTTCTCCTTTCTCTCACTTCTCACACTTTTCAACATCTTTCTTTCTTCTATGAACTCTTATTGTAACATTAACATTTTTTTGTGCTTGTTGGTTGTGCCATGCATTGCAGCTGGAGCTTGAACAGTACCCAACGGGACCCCATATCGCTTCTCGAATGCTTTTCACTGTGTTCCCTCTTTTCCTTTATCCACCATCTTTAATTTATTCTTCCACTTTGCTCATCAAATATGCTAAAGTTTGATTCTTTTGCCTTATAACATCTCCATCTTATGGTTCTTCTTAATGGGTATTTTTTTTAATATACGTTTGTTAGTGTATATGCATATGCAAATGCAAATGCAACCTTTTGGTCACACTTGTGGGATGTGATTATAAACATATCTGGTTATGATTCTTGTTGGGGACAATTTTAACTGGTTGTGGGGATTAGGGAAAG